TTTTTGGGGCCATTTTTGGAACGCTTTTTGACTATTCCTTCTTTTTCCTCAAAAATCCGCCTGCAGGAGGACGTGCCCGACCCAAGCCTAGCTGCCCCGATACGCTCGTTGTGAATCGCAATGAATACGTGCAGGTCGGGGGCGGGCAGAACCCCCAACAGTGACGCGTCGATTAGTGAATTGTACGTTCTCGGTTCTCGAGAGGGCGCCGCGGCCGTCATTTTCCAGGCTTGCGCCCGCCAGGTTTGGGCCTCGGGTCGTTTTCACTAAACCGCGTTTTACGAAAGGGAGGCTTGTCCATCCCCGAGTTATGATGTTCCAGCCTACTTCAGCCTGGACCGCCAGGAAGAATTTCGCGAGCACCAGAAAAGAGCACCGAAGCTCGTGGGCTTTCACGCGTCGGGCCCTTTTGGAGACACTCGCCCGACGTTGCTTCGGCGCTCTTTTTCGACACTCCTTCGACACTTCTCCGGGTGCTCGACATGACATTCTTTCTGGGACGTAGTCCTTAAGTACGATGGTAGCAACCTAACTCAGGAGGGAACGAAGCACACAGACACAATTAATCGCCGATTTCCCAGAAAGTACTTTGGAACATGTGGGAAGTGGGGGCCCCTTGATTTGTGTGCATTTATTTGTGTGCCCCAGGGCCCCTTCAATAACCCTGTACAGTCGGGGCGCTGAAGAAGGGACCCCGTTCGTTGGGGAGGGGCTCGGTGTTCCGTAATTGTTTAACAGTTTGCCGGAGGTTTTCCTGATGTTTGCCGTGGTAAATCGAAGTTGAACTTATGGGAAAAAGGGGCTTCGTTCCTTATTTAGGGTTCCTTAGGTCATCGCCCCGACTGTAGCCTTCGAGCGGCGCCCGGCGTCCTCGCAGAAGGCTCAGAGGGAGCTCCGCAGAGGGCCGGAGCCCCCCCCTTTGCCTTGCCCTGGGCGCTCTTCGCCCGGTGGCGTCTCTCTCCGGCCAGGGTCTCTCGTCGTCCCCTGCGCCTGGCCGCCCGTCCCCCATCGTGCGCAGTAAGCAGCAGGGCAGGCACATCCAGGCGGCGGTCCAGGTGGGTTGGGCCAGGGATGGACCTTTTCGAGGAGGAGGAGGAGGAGGCGGAGGAGGAGGAGGAGGAGGAGGAGGAGGAGGAGGAGGAGGCGGAGGAGGAGGAGGAGGAGGAGGAGGAGGAGGAGGAGGAGGGAGGAAAAGGGGAGGAGGAGGTAGGAGGAGGAGGAGGAGGAGGAGGAGGAGGAGGAGGAGGAGGAGGAGGAGGAGGAGGAGGAGGAGGAGGAGGAGGAGGAGGAGGAGGAGGAGGAGGAAGGAGGAGGAGGAGAGGAGGAGGAGGAGGAGGAGGAGGAGGAGGAGGAGGAGGAGGAGGAGGAGGAGGAGGAGGAGGAGGAGGAGGAGGAGGAGGAGGGCAAGCTAGGGGGCCACACGCGAACCCTACCCCTGCACCCCACGAGTTCTGAGGGGGAGGGTGGGGTTCGCTTCCCTCTGCTCGTGCTGGCAGGTGTGTGATTTTTCTCGCTGCAGGGATGTACACCACGCCGAGTTCCTCTCGTCGCGATGCGGCTCGTTTTCCCCGGGCGCGCTGTGGTACTTCTTCCCCCTGCGGTGCGGTTGGCGCGAAGGTGTGGGGTTGGGTCTTGCTGGCGCGGCCGGGATCGCCCTTCTGAGGGGCAGTTTTTTTTTGTTTGGTGGGGGGGGGGGGTAAACAGAGAGCCCCACGTCCGATGGTACTCATGCGTTGGCTTTTGAGGGACAAATGGGGCGCGAGGCCAGGTGCGCCAGCACGGCATGCCGTGCGCGCTTCTGCCCCCTTCCTCGCCCGGACCCCTGGCTCCTGCCAGCTCCGTCTCCTCGGCCTGGCGACTGAGCGCCAGCCCAGCTTGTGTCTCCCAGGAGGGGAACCACACAGACGCAATTGATCGTCGACTCCCAGAAAAGATGGGAAAATATGGGAAGTGGGGGGGAGGACGAATACTCCGAGAAGATGGGAAGCTATGGGGGCTCCTGAGAGTTGTGTGTATTTATTAGTGTGTCCCTGGGCCCCTTTAGTTTCCTCGGTCAGCCATGTCTGAAGTGCTGCCCAGGTTGTACACTAGCTGTCAGTGCCCTCTCCCATGAGATTGCCAGGGCCACTTGTGCGCACTGCAGAAGCAGCCACAGAGCTGCCCAAGGCAGGCTGGTATCGTCCTTTGGACAGCCATGCTGCACGCCCGCATTTCCCCTCCCACTCCCGACCCTCCCCCTGCAGCCATCTCGGCTGCGAGGCAGGACTCATCGCCGTTCCCCAGGTTACTTGCTCTCTCGGCCCCGTATTCCCTTCTCTTTCTCTCTTTTTCCCCTCCTTCCTCCTCACGTTGGTCGGTCAGGCGTGCTTCAGGGTGTCGCCTCCTGGGTTCTTGTCGGGGTTCCTCGCGCTCCCGATTCCACATCCCTTGTCCATCTCTCGTAGCCTTGCGCGATGTGTGCTCCCGTTGACCTCTCCTGGGGAGCGCTGCCGCACTGCAGCCCCTCCTCCGCGCTGCAGCGCGTGGCAGCGCAGCACGTGCAAAAGCTCGCCGAAGGACTCCGCCACGAGTTCCCCCCCCTCGGTAGAAGACGTCGCCACTTCCAGCCAGCTGCACACCGCGCGGGCGGCGGGCAGGGCTCAGGAATGGGCTGCCTCGATTCTAGTGGCCGGCGAGCTTGTTGGAGGGCTCACTGGCGGTCTCGTGGGTGAGATGCGAGAGGCTTGTTGAGGGGTGCGCCCCGTGGTTGTGGAACAATCGAGGGACTGGGCTGCTTTGCCCGCCCAGATGCCATCCTGAGGCGGCCGTTTCCTCGGTTCGTGTTCGCCGCCTGGGCTTAGCCTCCCCGATGCGCAACACGCAACCCGTAGCGTATCTACGCGGAGCTCAACGCGTAGACTGGAAACGTAGACCTGGCGCGACGCGTTCCCCAAAGCGTGGTTCGACACGCGCCGAGCCAACATGCACCGTGTCAGCACGGACGTTTTGAACATTGCACGTGTTGCGTTTCAGATCTCGTGGTCTTTGCGGGCTCCTCCCCCCCTCGCGCCCTGTTCCTCTTCGCCTTCGTGCCTCGATTCGCTCCCAGTGCACTCCGCCGCTTGCCGACTGGCGTCTGACTGTCTTGGACCACTTGGCGCCCGGGGGCCAAAGCAAGCTGCGCTTCAAGACGGGCGTATCAGGGCAGCTGAGGGCCGGGGAGACAGCCGCATCTCAGCCTCTTGAGGGCCAGCGGGGGTCGCGACGCCCGCGGCCGGGGCATCCGGCCGGCCGAGGCGAGCCATGAGGGCAGTGCGTTGGATGTCCCCGCTCCCGCCGCAGGCGCTGGGCGGGACGGCCAACCCTCCCGCCCTCTCCTGCATCCTGTGACGAACGAGAGACGGGCTTACCGCCAAGGCCAGGTTTGCGATTACCATCCGGAGCTCAGCTCGCTGTGAAGGCCAGGCTTGAGACAACCATGCGCAGGGTCCCTCACTTGCAGGGCCTGACGCCGTTCCTGACTGGTTTGTCTCTGCTGGCCCAGGATGAGCACAGATCGCTTCAGGGCGTTCTGGAGCGCTCCCGTGGAACGGCCGCGGTGCCCGACACGTCCTCGGGATGCCGCCAGTCTCGTGGGGCTCCCGGCCTGTCCCGGCCCTCAGTACGATCAAACGATCGAGACGTGTACGGAAAGAAGGGGGGACGAAAACCGGCAGCAGGCCTCGTGCACTTGGCACGGGGCTCGCCGTCGGCGTCGCCGCGGACGCTGCCCAGCGGGGGCAACAAGTCGCCTGCGCAACAGCGGCCGTTGTCGGTTTTGGACACCCTTTGCCGCGGGGCGTCGTTCCTTTCCTTCCCCGTCCCCATGTCGGGTGTGCCGAGCATCCGCCACCGCAGCGGAACCTGTGCCCAGACGCCGCCAGCTTCCCGCCGCAAGGCGCTTTGGCTTCCAAGGACGGCTCGCGCGCAACGCGAGCTTCAATCCCGGGGCGATCAGATTGGTGGCCCGCGCAGGGGGGCAGGGGAAGTCGACGAGACGTAAGAGTGACCTTTCGCTGGAGTGACCGTTGGTGCGGGCCCAATGGGGTCCCCCGATCGCCGAACGCGAGGCGGCAGTGCCGTCTTGCGCGCTTGTGTCTGGCCCCCCCGCGGCCCGCAAAAAGCCGCGCACCAAGGGTCACTCTTGCCCAGGGTCACTCTTGCGTGTCGTCGAGGAAGGGAAGCGGAGGTTTCTACCCGCCTCTGAGTCGCCGGTTCCTTGCAGTCGTCTCTGGCGACCGAAGTTTCACTGCAGCCGGCATGCTGCCCCCCCTCCGCCCTCCCACCTCCGCCCGCCCCAATTCCTTCCCTCCGCCCGCCCTCCTTCCTCCTACCCTTCCTTCCTTTGCCCATACTTCTTCGACGCCCCCGCCCTCCTCCCTACCTCCTTTCTCTCTCCTGCCTGGCTCCCTTCCTGCTCTCCCTCCCTTCCCCTGGTTCTTCCCCTCCCTCTCCCCCCGGCGTCTCTTCCTTCCTCTCCCTCTCTTCTTCCCCTTCCCCCCCCCCCGACGCACAAGCTGATCAAGAAACGCGATCCAAGCATGCCTAATTCGTCTCTCCTCCTCCTTTTCCTCCTCCTCCTCCTTTTTCTCCCCCTCGCTTCCTTCCTTTTTCCTCTCTCCTTCCCTCCTTCCTTCCTTTTTCTCCCCCTCCCCCTCCTCCTTTTTCCTCTCTCCTCCTCCTCCTCCTCCTCCTTCCTCGCTTTTCCCTCATCCCTCCCCCTCCTCCTCTTCCTCCCTCCTGCGTCGCCCCGTCCCCTCTCCCCGCTCCTCCTGCCAGTCCCCCCCTCCTAGTCCCCTCTGCTCCCACCTCCCTCCCTCCTTTTCCTTCCTTCCTTCCTCCCTTCCTCCCTTTCTTCCTCCCCTCTTCCTCCTCTTCCTCCCCCTCCTCTTTCCCTCACTCCGTCCCTGCCTTCCTACTCCCTCCTACTCCCTCCTACTCACTCCTACTCCCTCCCTCACTCGCCCTGTAGAACGTCGGCGATGGTGGCGCCACCGATGGACGGGCCTGATTGGGTGGCGTTGGCGTTGGCAGCGACGGAGGGGGTGATTCCCGTTCCATGGACCCACCTGCTCATAGCGTGCGGGGTGGTGGTCGCGGAGAGCGCCTTGGCGCACTTCTTGGAGGTCGGCTTGGCCGACCAGCTGCTGGTCGCAGGGGTGCGCGCCTTTGTGCAGCTGAACCTGCTCGGCTACGTGCTGGCGCCCATCTTCAACAGCGACAGCGCGTGCGTCGTTCTCCTGTATCGAAGACGCCTACGGCGAATCACCGGCGCCCCCTGCCTTTGTGGAAGCGCCTATGTGGCCGAACGTTGAGGCCAGACCTGCCAAGCTATCGGACCATGTGTTCCCCGAATCGGTTTGGAAAGCCTTCGAGGAACATGTGGGCATCTTGAAGGTCATCTTGGCCGCCTGGAGGCCATTTTGACCCTTTCGGGCTTTCTTGGAGGGCGTCTTGGAGGGCTCTTGGGCCGTCTTGGAGGCCGTCTTGAGTGTCTTGGAAGCCTCTTCAGCCGTCTTGGGGGCCTCTTGGGGCCGTCTTGGCCCTCTTGGGCGATCTTTGGGGGCACTTGGGTCGTCTCGGCCGTCGGAAGGCCGACAGAAAGCAAATGCCACAATCCTCCAACAAAACTCATGGGAAATCAATGATTTTGGTCTTTTCGGGCCTTTCTGGAGGCCCTCTTGGAGGCCTCTTGGGCCGTCTTGGGCCATCTTAGTGCCATCTTCGTCCGTCTTGGTGGGCCCCTGGCCCGTCCGACACCGTCGGAAGCCGTTTGGGGGGGCCTCTCTGAGCCGACTTGGGGCCCTGGAATGCTCCAGGGCCGTCTTGGAGGCCATCTTGGGCGTCTTAAAAGCCTCCTGGGCCGTCTTGGGGGCCTCTTGGGGCCGTCTTGGGGGCCTCTTGGGCCGTTCTGCGGCCATCTTGGAGGCCTCTTGGGCGATCTCTGGGCGATTTTAGGGGGCTCTTGGATCGTATCGGGCCGTCGGAAGGCCGAAACGAAGCAAATGTCAAAATCCTTCAACAGCCTACTGAAAATCTGTGTTTTTGGCCTTTTCTGATCTTCCTGGAGGCCCTCTTGGAGGCCTCTTGGGCCGTCTTGGGCCAGCTTCGAGCCGACTTCGGCCATCTTGGTGGGCTCTTGGCCCGTCCGACGCCGTCGGAAGCCGTTTGGGGGGCCGACTCGGGGCCCTCTTGATGTGCTCCATGGCCGTCTTAGAGGCCATCTTGGCTATCCTGGAGGCCTCTTGGGTTGTCTTTGTGCCCTCCTGGGGCCGTCTTGGGGGCCTCTAGGGCCGTCTTGGAGGCCTCTGGGGGGCCTCTTGGGCCGTCTTGGGCCGTCTTGGACTCTCTTGTGCCGTCTTGGAGGCCGTCTTGGACCATCTTGGGCGAACTTGGAGGCCATCTTGGACCATCTTGGAGGCCATCTTGGGCCAACGTGACCATCATGGAGGCCATCTTGAGCCGTCTTGCAGGATTTTTCCGCAATTGAGGTCCTTTCCGGGTGGCCGGCGGGACAGGCCGAAGCCCCAGGGGGAGTTCTTTTGAAAAAAGAACCAAAAGCAAAACCGAGAGGGTCCAGCACGCCAGGCACCCCTGCGATGAATCGACAGGGTGCGGCGGATCGAAGACGCCTACGGCGAATCACCGGCGCCCCCTGCCTTTGCGGAAGCGTCTACGTGGCCGAACGTTGAGGCCAGACTTGCCCAGCTATCGGACCATGTGTTCCCCGAATCGGTTTGGAAAGCCTTTGGGGAACACGTGAGCATCTTGAAGGTCATCTCGGCCGCCTGGAGGCCATTTTGACCCTTTCGGGCTTTCTTGGAGGACGTCTTGGAGGGCTCTTGCGCCGTCTTGGAGGCCATCTTGAGCGTCTTGGAGGCCTCTTGGGCCGTCTTGGGGGCCTCTTGGGGCCGTCTTGGGCCTCTTGGGCGATCTTTGGGGGCACTTTGGCCGTCTCGGGCCGTCGGAAGGCCGTCCGTCGTTTTCAACGTTGTCCTGGAAACATTCCACGAGGCACCCCGCGAAACAGTCCACGAGACACCCCACGAAACATTCCACGACGACAGGCAACTACTCAACCAAGGCGGTGTGGTCGTGCTGGGGAGTGGTCGTGCTGCGGTGTGGTCGTGCTGGGGTGTGGTCGTGCTGGGGGGTGGTCGTGCTGGGGGGGTAGTCGTGCTGGGGGTTGGTCGTGCTGGGGCGTGGTCGTGCTGGGGCGTGGTCGTGCTGGGGCGTGGTCGTGCTGGGGTGTGGTCGTGCTGTGGTGAGGTCGTGCTGGGGTGTGGTCGTGCTGGGTGATGGTCTTGCTGGGGTGGGGTCGTGCTGGGGTGGGGTAATGCTGGGGTGTGGTCGTGCTGGGGTTTGGTCGTGCTGGCGTGGGGTCGTGCTGGGGTGGGGTCGTGCTGGTGTGTGGTCGTGCTGGTGTGTGGTCGTGCTGGGGTGTGGTCGTGGAAATGCATATAGAACCGCATGCATGGAAACGTTTTCACGACACCGTATTGGGCGACGGGCACTTGCAATGCCGAAGGTGTCGATGGCGATGTGCTGTGCCAGGGGCTGTGCTGTGCCGTGCTGTGCTGACTTGGAATTTGCCATGCTGCGCTGAACTGTGCTGTGCTCAATTGCGTTGTGGATCAACTCGCCCGTGGCCTCCGAATCCTGGCCGAACTGATTTGGATCTTAAGCCCGAGCTGTACATATGTAAAAACACACGGATTCGCGCCCCTGGAGATCAAATTTATACGCACATACGTAAAAGCACATGGATTCGTGCACCTGGAGAGGGCAAATCTACAGGCACATATGTAAAAACACACGGGTTCGTGCACCTGGAGAAGGCAAATCTCTGGGGCGCCCAGATCCCTCAAGTTCTACAAAACAAGCGATTCGCTCGAGACATCCTCGGTAACTCTGCGGAGCAAGCGTTTCGCTCGAGACATCCTCAACACACGAAAGAGTGGCCCGCACCCTGTGATTTATCGATCGGGATTTCAAAAACAAGCGTTTCGCCTGAGACATCCTCAAATTTTAATCCGCCGGCCCACCTCGACCTCGATATTGATCAGGGAGAGAATCCGCCGGCCCACCTCAGTTGAGGCATCGGGGACAGATTACCATCCTAAAGAGAACCCTGGGCCGGCGCCCTTTCCGGGAAAAACTCATGGGAAATCAATGATTTGGGCCGTTTCGGGCCTTCCTGGAGGCCCTCTTGGAGGCCTCTTGGGCCGTCTAGGGCCATCTTAGTGCCACCTTCGTCCGTCTTGGTGGGCCCCTGGCCCGTCCGACGCCGTCGGAAGCCGTTTGGGGGGCCTCTCTGGGCCGACTTGGGGCCCTCTTGGAATGCTACAGGGTCGTCTTGGAGGCCATCTTGGGCGTCTTAAAAGCCTCCTGGGCCGTCTTGGGGGCCTCTTGGGGCCTCTTGGGGGCCTCTTGGGCCGTTCTGGGGCCATCTTGGAGGCCTCGGGCGATTCTTGGGCGATCTTTGAGGGCTCTTGGGCCGTCTCGGGCCATCGGAAGGCCGAAACGAAACAAACGTCAAAATCCTTCGAAAACCTACCGAAAAGAATCAGTTGGCTTTTCTGGCCTTCCTCGAGGCCCTCTTGGAGGCCTCTTGGGCCGTCTTGGGCCAGCTTCGAGCCAACTTCGGCCATCTTGGTGGGTTCCTGGCCCGTCTGACGCCGTCGGACGCCGTTTGGGGGGCCTTTTTGGGCGACTTGGGGCCCTCTTGGTGTGCTCCATGGCCGTCTTAGAGGCCATCTTGGCCATCTTGGAGGCCTCTTGGGTTGTCTTTGTGCCTCCTGGGGCCGTCTTTGGGGCCTCTTGGGCAGTCCTGAGGCCATCTTGGAGGCCATCTTGGGCGCTGTGGGGGCGATCATGGGGGCCTCTTGGGCCGTCTTGGGTCGTCGGAAAGCCGTGAAGAAGCGAATGCCGAAATCCTTCAAAAACCAAGGGAAAATCAATGATTTTGGCCTCTTCGGGCCCTCCTGGAGGACCTCTTGGAGGCCTCTTGGGCTGTCTTGGAGGCCTCTGGGGGGCCTCTTGGGCCGTCGTCGGCCGTCTTGGACTCTCTTGGGCCGTCTTGGAGGCCGTCTTGGACCATCTTGGGCGAACTTGGAGGCCATCTCGGACCATCTTGGAGGCCATCTCGGGCCAACGTGACCATCATGGAGGCCATCTTGAGCCGTCTTGCAGGATTTTTCCACAATTGAGGTCCTTTCCCGGTGGCCGGCGGGACGGGCCGAAGCCCCAGGGGGAGTTCTTTTGGAACAAGAACCAAAACCAAAACCGAGAGGGTCCAGCACGCCAGGCACCCCTGCGATGAATCGACAGGGGGCGGCGGATCGAAGACGCCTACGGCGAATCACCGGCGCCCCCTGTCTTTGCGGAAGCGCCTATGTGGCCGAACGTTGAGGCCAGACCTGCCAAGCTATCGGACCATGTGTTCCCCGAATCGGTTTGGAAAGCCTTCGGGGAACACGTGGGCATCTTGAAGGTCATCTCGGCCGCCTGGAGGCCATTTTGACCCTTTCGGGCCTTCTTGGAGGACGTCTTGAAGGGCTCTTGGGCCGTCTTGGAGGCCATCTTGAGCGTCTTGGAGGCCTCTTGCGCCGTCTTGGGGACCTCTTGGGGCCGTCTTGGGCCTCTCGGGCGATCTTTGGGGGCACTGGGGCCGTCTCGGGCCGTCGGAAGGCAGAACAAAAAGCAAATGCCACAATCCTTCAAAAACTCAGGGGAAATACATGATTTTGGCCTTTTCGGGCTTTCCTGGAGGCCCTCTTGGAGGCCTCTTGGGCCGTCTTGGGCCATCTTAGTGCCATCTTCGGTCGTCTTGGTGGGCCCCTGGCCCGTCCGACGCCGTCGGAAGCCGTTTGGGGGGGCCCTCTTGGAATGCTCCAGGGCCGTCTTGGAGGCCATCTTGGGCGTCTTAAAAGCCTCCTGGGCCGTCTTGGGGGCCTCTTGGGGGTGTCTTGGGGGCCTCTTGGGCCGTTCTGGGGCCATCTTGGAGGCCTCTTGGACGATCTTTGGGGGCTTTTGGACCGTATCGGGCCGTAGGAAGGCCGAAACGAAGCAAATGTCAGAATCCTTCAAAAACGCAAGGGAAAACAGTGCTTTTGGCCTTTTCTGGCCTTTCTGGAGGCCCTCTTGGAGGCCTCTTGGGCCGTCTTGGGCCAGCTTCGAGACAACTTCGGCCATCTTGGTGCGCTCCTGGCCCGTCTGACGCCGTCGGAAGCCGTTTGGGGGGCCTTTCTGGGCCGACTTGGGGCTCTCTTGGGGTGCTCCAGGGCCGTCTCAGAGGCCATCTTGGGCGTCTTGGGGGCCTCTTGGGTCCCCTTTGTGCCCTCTTGGGGCCGTCTTGGGGGCCTCTTGGGCAGTCCTGAGGCCATCGTGGAGGCCTCTTGGGCGCTGTGGGGGCGATCTTGGGGGCCCCTTGGGCTGTCTTGCGTCGTCGGAAAGCCGAAAATAAGCGAATGCCAGAATCCTTCAAAAGCGCATGGGAAATCAATGCTTTTGGCCTCTGCGGGCCCTCCTGGAGGACCTCTTGGAGGCCTCTTGGGCCGTCTTGGAGGCCTCTGGGGGGCCTCTTGGGCCGTCGTCGGCCGTCTTGGAGTCTCTTGGGCCGTCTTGGAGGCCGTCTTGGACCATCTTGGGCGGACTTGGAGGCCATCTTGGACCATCTTGGAGGCCATCTTGGGCCAACGTGGCCATCTTGGAGGCCATCTTGGGCCATCTTGAGCGAAACATTGGGATTTGGGCGTCTTCCGGGTGGCCGGCGGGACGGGCCGAAGCCCCAGGGGGAGTTCTTTTGGAAACATGATCGACCCACGAACCCGGAAAGGAATATAGAAATGTAAGGCGTGGCAACGTTTCAAAGACACCTGATTGGGCGACGGGCAAATGCAATGCTGAATGTATCGATTTTGATGTACCGTGCCGAGGGCTGTGCTGTGCTGCGCCGTGCTGATGCTGAACTGCGATGTGCCATGCCACGAATGTGCTCTATAGCGTTGTGGATCGAGTCCTCCTTTGCACCCGAGTCCTGACCGAACTGATCTGGATCTTAAGCTCGAGCTGCCTCAGCACATAGTAGCTGCCCCAGAGCTAATTGACAGGGGAACATGCCAGGAGGACGCGCCGCGGAACGTCCCAAGGGACGCGCCAGGCGACGTGCCAAGGGACGTGCCACGAAGACGCACCGCGGGACGTGCCGAGGGGACGCGCTACGGAAAGTGCCAATGGACGTGCCAATGGACGTGCCAGGAGACGCGCCGCGCGACGTGCCAGGGGGACTCGCCACAGGACGCGCCACGGAACGTGCCAGGTTGCAATGCTGAGTGTATCGATCTTGATGTACCGTGCCGAGGCCTGTGCTGTGCTGCGCTGTGCTGAACTGCGATGTGCCATGCCGCGAATGTGCTCTATAGCGTTGTGGATCGAGTCCTCCTTTGCACCCGAGTCCTGACCGAACTGATCTGGATTTTAAGCTCGAGCTGCCTCAGCACATAGTAGCTGCCCCAGAGCTAATGGACAGGGGGACATGCCAGGAGGACGCGCCGCGGAACGTCCCAAGGGACGCGCCAGGCGACGTGCCAGAGGACGTGCCACGGGGACGCACCGCGGGACGTGCCGAGGGGACGCGCTACGGAACGTGCCAATGGACGTGCACCGCGCGACGTGCCATGGGGACTCGCCATGGGACAGTCCGCGGAACGTGCCAGGCAACATGCCAGACTGCAATGCTAGGGGTATCGATATTGATGTACCGTGCCGAGGGCTGTGTTGTGCCTGGGCGACCTGGACACGTGAAAACACGCGTTTCGCTCAAGACGTTCTCAGCACATCCTCATGCTAGACATCCGCCTGGGCAACCTGGACACGTGCAAACAAGCGTCTCGATCGAGAGTTTCTCGACACATCCTCATGCTAGACATCCGCCTGGGCGACCTGGACACGTGAAAACAAGCCTCTGGTTCGAGACATCCTCAACAAATCCTCATGCTAGACATCTGTTCTCGCTCGAGACATCCTCAAGACCTGGGCACGTGAAAACAAGCATTTCACTTGAGAGATCCTCTGAATTCAGGTCCCCAGGAGAGGACAAGCGTTTCGCTCGAGACATCCTCAACAAATTCTGAAAACAAGCGTTTCGCTAGGGACATCCTCAAAATTGATTCCGCCGGCCCACCTCGACCTCGATATTTATCAGGGAATAATTCCGCCGGCCCACCTCAAGTCAGGGCCGGGGGTAAACAGCTAAAAGAGAACCCTGGGCCTACGCCTTTTCCGGGAAAAGTGCCAAAACCAAAACCTAGAGGATTCAGCATGCCAGGCACCCCTGTGATGAATCAACAGGGGGCGGCGGATCTCGTGGCCTTCGGCCCATCCCGCCACCGCGTCTGGGTCCTGGGCCATACGCCGCCTGGGGTCTACTGGAGGCCTCTTCGGGGGGCCTTCTGGTCTTGCTGGCGGCCTCAGGGGCCATCCTGGGCGAGGGGCCCGTGCGGCCGCGTCGAGTCCTCCCTCGTGGGCCTCCTCTGGGGCCCTCGTGGAGGCCTGGGGTCCTCTTGGGCCGCCTCGGGCGTACTCAGGAGGATCGAGACGTGCCCAGGTTTCTTGAGCCGACCCTTGGGGGTCTCGAGGACGGCCCAAGGTGCCCCCAAGAGCATCCCAGGACGAGCCCTTGAAACCGACCGAGAGCATGCATGTTGGAAGTGTGGGTCCTCTGGAGGAGTCACGCAACGCGTGCGACAGCGCCTGGGAAACTGGCAGCCGAGGGTCCGGGGTCCAAGACATTTTCCTCACTCAGTGTTGAGGATTGTTGAGGACCTGATGGCAATGGACTCTGTGCCTCGCGGCACGGTGGCGGGCATATTTGGGTTCATGGTGCTGGTGTCCGCGTACGAGGCTGCTGCGAGGCCAAAGGTCACATACCCAAACCTCTTCAGGGATGCGGTGGCCACCACCACGCTGGCGCTGTTCGCCACTGGTGTGGTCATGATGCTCATCGTGATGCCCTCACCGTGGTACGACGCGCACTACCTCATCCCAGTGGCGGGGATGCTCATCCAGTTGCGCTGCCGCGCGAACCCGCCTGTGCGTTTGGGCGGGCGCTGGAATGTGGAGGTTCCACCAGGAGGTAGTAGGTTCCATGGAGCGTCACATTCGAACCTGTGTAACCTTAATTCCCGGAAAGGGCGTAGGCCCAGGGTTCTCTTTTAGTATGTAAACATGTCCCCGGTGCCCAACTTGAAGGAGGCCGGCGGATTCTTTCCCTGATAAATATCGAGGTCGAAGGAGGCCGGCGGATTAAAATTTGAGGATGTCTCAGGCGAAACGCTTGTTTTTGAAATCCCGATCGATAAATCACAGGGTGCGGGACACCTCAGCACGACCACACCCCCAGCATGACCACACCCCAGCACGACCACGCCCAGCACGACCACGCCCCAGCACGACCACACCCCAGCACGACCACACCCCAGCACGACCACACCCCAGCACGACCACACCCCAGCACGACCACACCCCAGCACCAGCACGACCACACCCCAGCACGACCCGATCGATAAATCACAGGGTGCGGACCACCCCAGCACGACCACACCCCAGCACGACCCCACCCAGCACGACCACACCCCACCACGCACGACCACACCCCAGCACGACCACACCCCAGCACGCCCCACGACCCCACCCCAGCACGACCCACCTAGCACGACCCCCAGCACGACCACACCCCAGCACGACCACACCCCAGCACGACCCCACCCCAGCACGACCCCACCCCAGCACGACCACACCCCAGCACGACCACACCCCAGCACGACCCACCCCAGCACGACCCCACCCCAGCAAGACCACACCCCAGCACGACCACACCCCAGCACGACCTCACCACAGCACGACCACACCCCAGCACGACCACGCCCCAGCACGACCACGCCCCAGCACGACCACGCCCCAGCACGACCACGCCACCCCCAGCACGACCACCCCCCAGCACGACCACCCCCCAGCACGACCACACCCCAGCACGACCACTCCCCAGCACGACCACACCGCCTTGGTTGAGTGGTTGCCTGTCGTCGTGGAATGTTTCGTGGGGTGTCTCGTGGAATGTTTCGCGGGGTGTCTCGTGGAATGTTTCGTGAGGTGTCTCGTGGAATGTTTCGTGAGGTGTCTCGTGGGATGTTTCGTGAGGTGTCTCGTGGGATGTTTCGTGAGGTGTTGCCCAGTTGGGTATCGTGAAAACGTGTCCATGCTCCACATGTCTATATCCCTTTCCGGGTTCGTGGGTCCATCATGTTTGTTTTTCCCGGAAAGGGCGCCGGCCCAGGGTTCTCTTTTAGATGGTGTACCCTCGGTTTTGAGCTGAAGGAGGCCGGCGGATTTCCGCTTAATAAAAAGCATGATGGACCCACGAACGCGGAAAGGGATATAGAGCATGGACACGTTTTCACGATACCCAACTGGGCAACACCTCACGAAACATCCCATGAGACACTTCACGAAACATCCCACGAGACACCTCACGAAACATTCCACGAGACACCTCACGAAACATTCCACGAGACACCCCGCGAAACATTCCACGAGACACCCCACGAAACATTCCACGACGACAGGCAACCACTCAACCAGGCGGTGTGGTCGTGCTGGGGAGTGGTCGTGCTGGGGTGTGGTCGTGCTGGGGGGTGGTCGTGCTGGGGCGTGGTCGTGCTGGGGGGGTGGTCGTGCTGGGGGGTGGTTGTGCTGGGGCGTGGTCGTGCTGGGGCGTGGTCGTGCTGGGGCGTGGTCGTGCTGGGGTGTGGTCGTGCTGTGGTGAGGTCGCGCTGTGGTGGTCGTGCTGGGGTGTGGTCGTGCTGGGGTGTGGTCGTGCTGGGGTGGGGTCGTGCTTGGGTGGGGTCGTGCTGGGGTGTGGTCGTTCTGGGGTGTGGTCGTGCTGGGGTGGGTCGTGCTAGGGTGGGGTCGTGCTGGGGTGGGGTCGTGCTGGGGTGTGGTCGTGCTGGGGTGTGGTCGTGCTGGGGTGTGGTCGTGCTGGGGCGTGGTCGTGCTGGGGTGGGGTCGTGCTGGGGTGGGGTCGTGCTGGGGTGTGGTCGTGCTGGGGTGGTCCGCACCCTGTGATTTATCGATCGGGTCGTGCTGGGGTGTGGTCGTGTGGTGGGGTGTGGTCGTGCTGGGGTGTGGTCGTGCTGGGGTGTGGTCGTGCTGGGGTGTGGTCGTGCTGGGGTGTGGTCGTGCTGGGGCGTGGTCGTGCTGGGCGTGGTCGTGCTGGGGTGTGGTCATGCTGGGGTGTGGTCGTGCTGAGGTGTCCCGCACCCTGTGATTTATCGATCGGGATTTCAAAAACAAGCGTTTCGCCTGAGACATCCTCAAATTTTAATCCGCCGGCCTCCTTCGACCTCGATATTTATCAGGGAAAGAATCCGCCGGCCTCCTTCAAGTTGGGCACCGGGGACATGTTTACATACTAAAAGAGAACCCTGGGCCAAAGCCCTTTCCGGGAACAAGGTAAATTCCCATTCGGCGTGAAAAAAATACGTTTCGCGCGTGCCCGCTCGAGGAAAGTCGAGACCCCATCTCGGACCCTCGAGAAATAACGGGATCCGCGGACCATTGTTTCCTTAGTAAAAAGAGGGTGCGGGGCATTTTTAGCAGAATCATTGGAAAAAACGAAATCTGGAGCCCCGACCGCGACGCTGAAAAGCGTCCCGCGCGCAGGAATTCCGAGGATGTCTCGCGCGTGCCGCGTCCCGCGCGCAGGAATTTTGAGGATGTCTCGACTAATTCGTTTGTTTTTCCAGGATTTCCGTGAACATGTTGAGTTTTTGCGTGCCCGCTCGAGGATGGTGCGCCCCCCCGCGCAAACCAAATCGAGGATGTCTCGAGCGAAACGCTTGTTTGGCAAAACTTGAAGGACCTGGGCGCCCCAGCATGCCCCAGGAGGCCCTGGGAGCGCGGACGCCGTGTAATTTACAAGGGATGGTGGCGTTTGGAGCGCGGGCCCAGCGTAATTTACGAGGGTCGGGGCCTTGGGAGCTCGGATGCAATGTAATTTACGAGGGGTCGTAGCCCTTGGAGCGCGGGCGCAGCGTAAAATACGAGGGATCGGGGCCCTGGGGGGGTTGCAATACACTCAGCATTGCAACCTGGCACGTTCCCTGGCACGTTCCGTCGCGCGTCCCGTGGCGAGTCCCCCTGGCACGTCGCGCGGCGCGTCCCCTGGCACGTCCCGTGGCACGTCCACTGGCACGTTCCGTAGCGCGTCCCCTTGGCACGTCCCGCGGTGCGTCCCCGTTGCACGTCCCCTGGCACGTCGCCTGGCGCGTGCCCCCTGTAAATTAGCTCTGGGGCAGCTACTATGTGCTGAGGCAGCTCGAGCTTAAGATCCAGATCAGTTCGGTCAAGACTCGGAAACAAAGGGGGACTCGATCCACAACGCTATAGGGCAAAATCTCGGCATGGCACATCGCAACTTCAGCACGGCGCAGCACAGCACAGCCCTCGGCACGGTACATCAAGGTCGATACACTCAGCATTGCGTTTGCCTGTCGTCCAATCAGGTGTCTTAGAAGCGTTGCCATGCCTCACATTTCTATATTCCTTTCCGGGTTCGTGGGTCGATCATGTTCGTTTTTTTGCTTCCGCTTGGAGAACAAAAGGAGGCAGGGACTCGGGTCAAACAGGTGAGCGCATGTTCGATGCGTCCAGAGGCCCTGGCAAGTGCTTCTGAAGAAGCGCAAGTAACAACAAAACAAGGGTGGGACACACAAATCGCTGCAAGCGCGGTGGCGGATCAACAACTCCCTCACGGGGAACGCCCTTGCCCTGAACGGCATTCTGGAACACCTCTCCACGCGCAAGGATCAGGTCGAGGTGCTTCTGTCGTTCGGGGCGAACCAGTGGGAGGCGATCTGGCCCGGATTCACGAACATCTTCCGCACGGCGCTGATACCAGCCATCAACGGTATGAACGTCATCGGGCTGGTATCGATTCCTGGGATGATGACCGGCCAGATCCTGGGCGGCTCGCCCCCAGAGACGGCCGCACGCTACCAGATCGTCATCACCTTCCTCATCTCCGGCAGCAACTTCATCTCGGTGCTGTGCATCATGCTCCTGGCCGTGAGGTCCGTCTTCGACGCGCGTGGCCGGCTGGACTCCGAGCGTCTCACGGAGCAGCGGCGGCTGAACGTGGCGCAGCTGTTCAGCCCTGCCGCGTGGAGGAAGCGGCGCGAGCGGCGCGCGGGGGCGGCCGCCGGTGCCGAGGCCGCGGGGCGAGGCGTGCCGCTTCTCGAGGAGGCAGGGCGCACCGCCGTCGAGCTGAGGGAGGTCAAGGCCTACGCAGCCCCGGCCGACGAGGTGCTCCTGGACGTCGGCATAGACGGCCTGATCGGGGGCAGCAGGTGTCCCAGGAGGGGAAAGCAGAATCCTCGACGATCTGTTCATGCAATGGCTCTCGATTCGAGCTGACACTCGGGCGGTCCACCTGGCCCGCTTCATTACGATGAACTCGACTAGCCCCCACATGCATCCTGCACAACTGGTCGCCGACTCCCAGGAAAATATGGATGGAAGACATGTGAAGTGAAGGGGAAGACGAGCACCCCGAAACTACGGAAGGTGTGGGGGGATCCGGGGACCTGCGTGACCATCTATCTGTGCGTCCCTGCCCACGGGTTGTGCCCCAGGGCCTCGGGGAGACCCCACCGAGGAGCGGTGGGCATGTGGATCCCCTCCTGCCTCCGAGGGCGGGGAAGCGTCCCTGCGCCTCGCCTCCCAGAGATCTGCAGCAGCTGTGGATGTGGATCAGAGGGGAACAAGGACGAGGATACATCCGTTCCAGCGCGTTCCGGAACGTTCTCAGAGTGTTCTGGCATGCTCCGGGAAGGCCGTGGCGCCCGAGACATCCTCCAGAGTCGTCGGATCTCAGAGATTTGAATTTTCCTCACCCGATGTCATCCTCGTCCTGGGTTCGTCTTAATTTTGGCGGTGCGCAGAAGGGGGGTGTGGGGGAGGGGGGAAGGCTACTTAGAAGCCTTCCCCGCTCCCCCTATAGTCGGACCGAGGTATAAGATCGAGGTCGGTTCGGGGAGGGTACTCTAGTGTTCTTCGTGTTTGTTGGATGTTCTTGTGCATCCTGGGGAGGGTACCCTCAGATGTTGTGTTTGTGTGTGTGTGTGTGTGTTTTGGCTGGCGGAGGGTCTCATGTCCTTGAAGGATTTTATTCTGCCCTAGGTCCGACTGTACCCATACCGCTTCCACTGCCTCGCTTTCCTCCTCTTTGGGCCAGCTGGGAGGCCCTCGTCGCCACCGCTGGATTCGCCTCGAAGTCCTGGTCAGAACGCACCCGGGGAGAGGTCCAGGGAGTAGTGGTTTTGGTACCTTGTGGTTTCCCCAGTGGCTGCTTCCTGGCAGTGCCATCTCCCTCCCTCCCTCCCTCCTCCCTCCTCCCTCCTGGACCTTGGTCGGGAACTGGAGCATATACATTACCAGTGGCGGGCCGTTTTTCAATCCCAGGACTTTCAGAGGGTCGGGGACGACGTCGGGTGGTGTGGTGTCTACTCTTTCGGCCCGTTTTTCCAGGAGAAGCAGCGAAGCACGTGTACACCTTAACCCCTATACACCAGGATCCGCCTTCCTGTGCGAGTCGCAGTGCGGGGCCGGAAAAAGCGTCGGTGTGCAGATTCCAGCTCCTTACTTGGCACCCTCCTCGGCCTCCTCCGCAGGCGAGTGGCCGTGAGCTTGGAGCTCCACCCCGGGGAGATCGCCGTGGTCATGGGCCCGAGCGGCGTCGGCAAGTCCACCGTCCTCCGCCTGCTGTCGGACCTGCAGCCGTGGCGCGGCGGCAGCGCGTCGCTGCGGGGCGCCCGGGCGGCAGACATGCGGGCCCAGGACTTCCCTGGGGGCCGCCAGGAGGATGATGATGATGATGATGCTGATGATGATGATGATGATGATGATGATGATGATGATGATGATGATGATGATGATGATGATGATGATGATGATGATGATGATGATGATGATGATGATAATGATGATGATGATGATGATGAGGAGGAGGAGGAATAATAATAATAATAATAAGAAGAATAAGAATAATAACAAACATAATAGTAATACTAATACTAAGAATAATAATAAGAATAAGACAACTAATAATAATACTAATAATAAGAATAATAATACTACTACTACTAATAATAATAATACTATTACTAACAATAATACTACCAATACTACTACTACTAATAATACTAAGACTAATAAGAATAATAATAAGTAATAATAATAAGAACATTAAGAAGAATAATACTAATAATAATATTAATAATAATAAGAATATTAGTAAGAAGAATAAGAAGAATCAGAATAAGAAGAATAATAAGAATAATACTAATAAGAAAAATAAGAATAATAATAAGAAGACGAATAATACTAATAATACGAATACTAATAAGAAGAAGAATGATACTAATAATACTAATAATAATAATCATATTAAGAAGAATAATAAGAATACTAATAAGAAGAATAATAACAATAAGAATATTCATACTAGTAAGAAGAAGACTAATAATACTAATAATAATAAGAAGAAGAAGAATAAGAAGAAGAATAATAATAAGAAGAAGAATAATAAGAATAAGAATAAGAATAAGAATAATAAGAAGAAGAAGAAGAAGAGGAGGAGGAGGAGGAGGAGGAGGAGGAGGAGGAGGGAGCACCACCACCGGGCATCCGCCGGCACCCAGACCCCCTCGCGTGGTGACAAAAGTCACGACGGGAGGGTTTTCGCTATCCTCGGCCTCCGGGGGCCCTCACCGGGCGTCGGGACCGGCAAACGACGACTCAGGACGAAAAACCGGTCCTGGTGAAGGGGTCCAGACCTCTGGGGATCGACGTTGCGAAAAAATCACGACGTCGGGGGTCTCGGGAGGGAGCACCACCACCGGGCATCCACCGGCACGGCCTCCCTGCCCGGCCAGGGCCTCCGACACGCACGAGGATCTGGGCCCCAAGGGGGCCCGTAGAGGGCCCAGGGCCAAAAGTTACATCGGCTTTTGGGGCCCGAGGGTTTGGGCTTTTAGCCCGGGCCCTTTGTGTCACGGTGTGGGCGTTCGTGCGTGCCCAGGAGGCTTCAGACCCTGGAGGGTTCCTTACCTGATGAGGGCGGCGGTGATATCCATGGCCAGTTCACGATTGGAATTCCGCCAGCTTCCAGACCCTGGCTTCTTTTTCCAACGATTCCGTATCCAATGCCCTCACCGTAGAGTTCACAGATCTGTGCACTCATCCGTGTGCCGCTGCCCAAGTGCTCCTCCTTTCTCTCCCTGTCCCTCTCCTCGCCCTCTCTGTGTGGCCCGCTGCGGAGGGCAAGATTTTCCCCGAAGTTGTCGCCTCGTGGGGGCAGCTTTCTCTTCCGCCATCGTTCGCCAGCCTTCCGGCGGCTTCCGCTGATGGAGCCGCCTCCCCGTTTTGGTACCGCCTGCCTTCCGCCGCCTTCTGCGCCCTCTGTCATGAAAGATAATTCAATACGATGGGAGCATTGAACCTTGGACAAGGAGATCTTTGAAAAGGAATCCAGGGTCTGGAAGCCGGTGGAACTTCAATCATGGGTCGATCACCGCCGCCTTCATCGGATGATGAGTCCTCCAGGGTCTGCAGCCTCTTGGGCACATTCCTTAACGAGCACCCCCGCCGCATTCAGCCCCTCAAATCCGAGGCCCTTTCTAGACCGCCGCATGTGGTGAGGTGGGTGGGTCGCTTCGCTGCATGCGCATCCTCGGTCCAAGGACTGGCGCCGGGACGTCCTGTACGTCCACCAGTCGAAGTCGGCGCTGCTGGGGTGCCCCCGCGACCTGGTGGCGAGCGTCCAGCGGTTCAAGTCGAGGGCCGGCCTGGCGCCACTGGGGCTGGAGCCTCTGCTGGAGGAGTTCGCCACGAAGAAAAGGGGTCCTGGAGTCCTGGAGGCACGGAGTCCCTGAGGCTCATCTCCCCTTGTCTGGCTCCGCGGGGCTCTTCCGGGGCCCCGGGGTCGTCCACAGAGCGACCCAGGACGGCGAGCTGGCCCCATGGGAACGCCCCGGAGCGAGGGGCCGGCCTCCACGAGGACCCCTTTCCTTCCTGCGCCGAGGAGTTCGGGCTGTGCCCCGCCAGGGAGTACCTGGACCGCTGGGGGACGCCAGCCACGCACCGACACCAGAACCGGCCAGGCTGATCCCGTCCCCAGGCTCCAAGAAGCCAGGAAAAAACACAGAGCCAGGGGGCGAAGCCCCCCTGCCGCCCCCATTGCGAAAGCGCGGAGTTTCTCGAAATACCTAATATGCACCATGGGGGGCATTATGAGGAAACGCCTCTGGAGTCTGGAGCCACCCCCCGTTGGCCCTGCCAGGAGCCAGGGAGGAGCGTGCAGCAAGCAGGGGCTCGGGTTGGGCCTGTCCAGGTGCGGTGCCGGTATGTCGTGGGGGCCTCCTGCCAGGACAAGCCGTGGGGCAAGCTGTCGGGCGGGGAGTCCCAGCGGGCGATGCTCGCCATCGGGCTGGCTGCCAGGCCTTGACTCCAGACGCTCCCCCCCCACTGGGTTTATCCAGGCTTCCCAGTTGGGTTCGAGGAGATGGTTTTGGGGATCGCACCGCATCGCCGATGCATCGGCGATGCGGCTCGATGCGGCTCCACGCCGGCTGCGCCGATGCATCGGCGACGTGGCGCGGTCCTCCGACCCCGTCTACTCAGACCCCATCTGGGAGGCTTCGAGTTCCAGAGGAGCACGCGGAGCGGCTGCCGGGAGAGAACGAGAGAGAGAGAGAGAGAGAGAGAGAGAGACGGCGGCGGCAGGCCAGGGGAGAGAGGGGAGGAAGAGGAGGAGGAGGAGGAGGAGGAGGAGGAGGAGGAGGGAGTGGGGAGGATGTGAGGGGAGGGGAGGAGGAGGAGGAGGAGGAGGAGGAGGAGGAGGAGGAGGAGGAGGAGGAGGAGGAGGAGGAGGAGGACGGTGGAGGAGAGGAGGGAGGAGGAGAGGAGGAGGAGGAGGAGGAGGAGGAGGAGGAGGAGGAGGAGGAGGAGGAGGAGGAGGAGGAGGTAGGAGGGAGGAGGAGGAGGAGGTGGAGGGGAGGAGGAGGAGGAGGATGAGGAGGAGGAGGAAGGCGGAGGAGGAGTGGAGGAGGAGGAGGAGGAGGACGGGGGGGAGGAGGAAGGAGGAAGGAGGACAGGAGGAGGAGGAGGAAGGAGGAGGAGGAGGAGGAGGAGGAGGAGGTGGAGGAGGAGGAGGAGGGGCCTGCGACGGCGGGGCCGGGTCGGCTGAAGGATCGGCTCCCACAGCCAGCCGGACCTGCTCTTCCCGCGCGCCCCCGGCGGTGGCGTGCCCGCCGACGTGGGGATCCGCAGGGCAGCGCCTCGCAGAGCCCGACCGGCTGCCCGCGGTCGGCGCGCGTGCCCCGTCGCGCCCGTCGCGCAGCTCGTGCGGCGGAGCGGAGGCGTCCTGTTGTCAGGAGGGAAAAAACACACCACAGACACAATTAATCGTCGACTCCCAGGAAAATATGGGAAAATATGGGAAGTGGGGGGGAAGACCCAAACCCAGAAAATATGGGAAAATATGGGAAATATCTTGATTTGTGTGTATTTATTTTTTGTGTCCTGGGGCCCCTTGATGCTGGCGGTGCAGCGC